CAAAACGACAGTGAAATCAAATTTTGCAGAGCACCTAATTGAAACGTGACATGAATATAAAAATATGATCCGATTTTCATGAATTTTGGTATAAACGTGTAAACCTACGTTAACGAGCTCGCGAACCGGCATGATCGGACCATGGGAACGAGGGTTTAATGGGGGAAAAATGCATTTTTCCATCCTTTGACCCTAAAAACAAAACATTTTGCTATTTCTTTCTAAACCATTTTGTAGAGCTTAAAAAAAGAAATAATTTAGTATATTGAAGCGCTATTGTATGCCTAACGGTCACGGAGAAAATTTATAAAAAGTGTAATTTAAAATTCCCATGTCATTCTCATGGAGAAAATGAAAACTGTTGGAGTTTACTTGTGTTGTTGTGGTTTACGGATATATTTTGATAAAATTTGGCAAATTTATTTATTTCATTCTATACAATTGACGTATGGTCAAAAAACATGTTTTACCTTTCCCGTAGTAGCAAACCTCGTTAACACTCGTTAAATCTAATGTTATTGAAATTGGGAATAAATATGTCATATTTATAAAAAAAATGTAACCAGACAAGTTGAAATTCGCTTCGTCTGCAGGTTTGCTGCGGTGGGGGTATTTTATTGTCCTTGATGATTTGTAGAAAGTTTTTCAAACATTGTACTTTTGGATATTTCATGTTTAGTTTGATATACTGAAAATAAGAATGTGTCTTTGATAAATTTCTTCAGGTGTCTAGGTCTGATAATCACAAAATTGAAAGTTCTCACCAGTATTAGAGACCACTGCTCTTCTATTGCTTATAGCTATATTTTTATAACCTTTTACTTTAGAAGATATATTTATTTATGGATAAGACCCTCACTAAAATAGTATAACAAGAGTAAACTATGGTACGTCACTCGTCCAAAATGTGTTTACTGGACTCGTATGGTAATACTTACTTACCGGTACTTACTTTTCGTCCAGTAGACACATATTTTCAGGACTAGTAACGTAATAAGCTATAATGTGCTTAATCTGCCATGTCTGATAGACAAGCGAAGAATTTCACACAAGAGGTTCATTGTTGTTGCCAGCTGTCTTCTTTCTTGATACATCAATTCACTTATATTTTGGCTTTTGAATCATCTAATTGTGGGATTTTAGGAAAACTTAACCCTTGTTTTGAATAACATGTAACATGCACTTTCTTTGGTCACTCGGGATTTTCTAGGAATTCATCGCCGCGCGCCATCTGCCTGGGCGTGGACCATGTGCCCAGCCAAGGTGAGGATTAGTGAACCCTTTTTTTACAGAGGTTTACAGATACTGTCAGATCTGAATTGCTACCGACTAAAAGAGGAGGGCTCTGTCCTAGGGCCAGTTCTGTTTGGGCTTTTTATTAATGACTTCCCGGAACACCTTGAGGAATACAGCAAGATGGTCATGTATGCAGACGACACTGTGCTGCTTACAGCAAACAGAAACATAGATCAACTAGAAGTAAACACCTATTTTGCTTTCAATATGACACAGGACTACTGTATGAAAAATGACGTCTTCAATGAAAGTAAGACCAAGCAAATGACTTTTGGAAATAAAAAGTCTACAGTATCTGAAATGCCCAACCTGACAGCAGCTGAAGAAATCAAACATTTAGGTGTCATAATTGATGAAAATTTATCCTGGGATCGTCATGTAGCTTGTCTTTGCCAAAAACTCGGGCCAGCTCGTTTTGTCATAAAACGAACCAAAGAGACTAGTACCCCTGAGGCAACGAGGACTGCATACCATACATTGTTTGAAAGCCAGCTATGGTATTACTGTCTGGGGTGGATCCACTATGGACAATCTTAACCGGGTCCTGGTTATGCAGAAAGAGCTATCAGAATAATACCCCTGCTGCAGCAAACCTGCCGACTAAGCAAATTTCCATTTGCCTGTATTGATTTTCAATTAATCTATTAAATTAAAATTTATGATTAACGAGTACCTAGGTTAGCTGCTACAGGGAAACTTATAAAGTGTGTTTTTTATTAAAATATCAATAGTTTAGTATGAAATAAATAAATCCGCCAAGTTTGATCAAAATATACCCATAAGCAAGCCAACTACAACATTTTACAATATCCACCATAAGAATAACATTGGAATTTTAAATTAACGATTTTTTGAATTTTCTCCATAACCATTCACCGACCAAAAAAAAACTTTGATATACTATATTATTTGTTTTTGTAAGCTCTTTAAAAAGGTCTGGAGAAAAATTTATAAATTTTAGGTTTTAAGTTGAAAAATGAGAAAAACCAATTTTTACCCCATAAAACCCCCCGTTAAACCCCGTTCCCATGGTCCGATCATGCTGGTTTGCGAACTCATTCAAGTTTATCCCGCCTTACACCTTCAAACCAAATTTTATCAAAATCGGACAAAAATTACTCAAGTTATCGTCCGGACGGACACATATATATAGGGTCTCTATATATACACATATACAAATTTTAACGAATGGTGTTTTTGGCCTCTGGGGACATCAAAATGAAAAAAAAAAACGGTCCCGGGCCTAGGTCTTACCATGAGACCTACGGTAATAGCTACTTCCCTATAGTGAAATTCGGTAATTGCAGGCATAAGTAAAGATCAAAGCTGTAGAGATGCCTTTTAAACCTGAACATCCTGACGGTGACTTCCATCTACATCCTAGATACTGTTTATTACTGTGTAACCAAAGATCCGCCTAAACAAAGAGATATACATGAATACAACACCAGATATGCAGGATTCTATGTGCTGTCTGGCCACAGAACAGCAATGTTTGAAAAGAAACCACTGTATGCAGGAGTTAAGATGCTAAACAAGCTACCAGTCCACTTGAAAATTGGAGGCCCTGTGCTGATGAAGAGGAAGCTACGGAGATGGCTGCTAGACAAAGCTGTCTACACCCTAAAGGAGTTCTTTCAAGATTCAAGATTCAAGATTCAAAGAGTCTTTATTCACACAGTACAAATTTTCGTACATGAATAGTGTCTATTGTCTATTGTTACTTACTACCTAAATTAGCAATAAGAAACATTTAAACAAAATACTATAGGCTACATTATTTTAAATTGAAATTACTAAAATCTTCTATTTTGTAAGGTGCAAGGTCAAGTAAGAATGCCTTCAGATTTTTCATAAATTTAGATTTTTCTTTTTTAAAAAGCTAGGAAGTTTTCTAAAAAAATAGTTTCCAATATAAGAAGGTTTATTTTTAAAAAGTTCAAGTCTTGGTTTTTCTTTAGCTAAATAATTTTTACCCCTTGTATTATAATTATGCACAGGCAATTCTTGAGTCTCAGCAATATTTAAAAAATATTTAATTGTTTCAAAAATATATACTTTGCATGGCAAGACCACACACAACACTGAAGAAGCTTTTCCATTTCACTTTGTATCTATTATACCAATGTTATTTATTTAAATTTGACTCTGTAACATTTCTTGATGAAATTGTAATAAAGGATATTGTCTATTGTCTATTGTCTATAGGGAATAAAATAAACCATCGGTTAAATTAAATTACAACAGCCACATAACCTCAACAATTTCCAAAATTAGAAGTAGAGTACCTAATTAAATTAATCAAGTAATTCCAAAACACTCTACCATATGTATTAGAGTCCCGATAGTCTGAAATTGTTGGGACCTGACCCATTTCGGACTACCAAATATTTCGGATTAAAAATATGTTTTTAAAATTGATTTTTTAATATTTTTTTTCTTGGACGCTAGGCACAAGACCAGGATTGTTTTTCACATTACTTCAGGACCTAGGGACCAAAAAAATCCATTTTTTTGGGGGGGAGCGAGCTGGCGTAGTGGTTAGAGCGCGGGACTTCAGTCCCTGAGGTCCCGGGTTCGATCCCCGCCAAGTCACCAATGGATTTTATCTAAGTGATAATGCCGCAACCCCTAGGTCTAGCCTGAAGTAATGTGAAAAACAATCCCAGGCTCGTGCCTAGCGTCCTTAGGACAAAAAAAAAAAAAAAAAAAAAAAAAAAATTGGTGATTTGGTAGGATTTGAACCCGGTACCTGAGGGACCGAAGCCCCGCATTCTAACCACTAGACCAGCTCACTGCCTGGTCAAATTGTTAAATTCATAGCTTCTACCTGTTCGGCTGCTACAGAATACTTCGACAAGGTACGACAGTGCTAGCAGTTTCGGCTTTTCCCAATAGGTGACGGCACATACTGGGTCTTCACTTTTTGTGTGCAAAATAAACTGCATTAATATCGTCACACAATGTTGCTAAAAGTTTAGACTTTCTCCGATAAGTGAGTGACAGCACGTACTGGATGAAAAACTAACTGAGTACCTCACATACTTGAAATCAACAATACATTATAAATATTGTGTAATATACAACTCATAGGCACAACTAGCTTTACAGTTGGATGATTTGTTTAAAAGGATATTGATTAAGTTGGTTGAAATAGTGTACATCTTTCATAGCTAAGCCTAGTGTAATGTGGATGGTAGTTTGAGGAATTTAAAGATTTTTTTCAAGAAAAATTGTGTCAAAAATAAAATGTCCTCACCATGATTAAACTTTTACTCCTTTGAATATTTATATGGTTTTTTTTTAGTTGTAAACTAACTTCATAATTATTCTGATGGCTATTTTATGGAATTATACATAGTACAGTGGAACCTCACTATAATGAGCCCATAACGAATTACCCCATATCATTTAGTATTTGGCAGTCCCTAAGCAAACGCCATATCATTCAATAGAACGATTAGTCGTTTAAATAAGTTGTTTTAACTGTGTGCGTGTACAAACACACACACAGAGAGACACCGCCTCTTCTTAATAATAGTATAGATGGATAGATTTTGAGGCAGTCATGCATTGCACTTCACTACATAAAAATACTCGACTCAAAATAGTTCGAAGCTTGCAAGGTTTTTGGAAAACTTGACAACCCAAATATTTACTACTCGCACACTCCTACTGTTAACTATACTGTGTACTCAGCTTACCTCATCATAGTTGCTTTTGGTGAAGGAATAAAGGGAGAATTCAGAATAGAGTCCAGCAAGATTCATGGTCTCTCCTGCAGCAAACAGCTTTTCTGCCAGCTCTGCAGCCATCTGTCTGGTCTGCTCTGCAGGTTCAATCATGCAATAGACAGCCTGTGCATGCAGCAACCTTCAACATTTCAGTATGATTTTAAAATATGGCCAATTGAAGTAACTTATTTTATTATCACAAATTGTGGAAATTTATGGGCATGCACTGTGGATGCGATACTCCCTGGTGTGGATTAATGTCTGCACTAGTGAGTACTAAGACTACCCGCAGTACTATCCTGAATTTGTTAATACCAAGGCAAAAATGTGGTTAGGATTCCACTATAAACTCTTGCTCTACCTTGTTGCTCTATTTTCTAAGTCCCTTAGTTGCCATTAGCTGTATGGGCTATTAATTAACAGCTGTGTCAAAGGAATATGTCGGCCTTAGTTTCTAAAAAGACTACAAGATCGTGCCACTCATCCTACACTCATCTCCATTCATGCTTTGCTTAAAATACCTACTTTGTATGGTCGCCATTTCAATGAAAAAGTAAAAAGTATTAGAAGTACTGACAATTTTTTTTTTTTATTCACTGGTTTTACCATTTTAGCTTAAAGCCTAAAACTGGTCCAAAAGTGGTCCGGTATAAATATATATATTTTTTTTGTTACAGAGTATTGACTATTTTGCATTGTAATGAAAGGAAATAGCTTGAAAAACAGAACAGAGATTCCTCAGACGAAAGATTTGACTTGGACTATGTAGGTAAACTCTAGCAAAAGAGGAATGATTCACTTCCGGCCAGCGACCCAAGACAGACGACAGAGTCCGCTTACTAATCATGGTCAGAGCCAGCGAAATTATAGATCCATATGGGCCAGATTATGGTATTTTTAATAGAGAATCTTGATTGTTGCCGGGGAGAGGACATTTTTAGACTTCCGAGCAGTGAGTCCCAGTACAGATTTGCAGAGGCGCAGGCATTAGTGATGCTGACATTTGACTCCAAGTCAGGAGATAGATGGAATCCTAATTTCTTAACCAAGGAGACTCTCGCCTCCCTCCACAATATTATAGTGGGTGGTCCAATGATGATATGGCTAACCCAATACTGATGATGTTTCAGTAAGCCTAATAATGGGGCAGTGAACAGTTCAACATTGTGCTTTTGTTACTGAAGTTTTCTTAAAAAAATAGTGGAATCTTTGATATTACACCACAGTTATTTTGTAATAGTTTACATGTTCCTCATCAATGTGACGTTTTTGTAGAAATACTATAAAACACTTCCGCCACAACAAACCTGCAGATGCAGAATAAGCGAATTTCCATTTGCCTGGCTGGATTTCTACTAAAATATTCCCTTAAAATTGGCAGATTTATTTCCTATTTAAATCACATTAATTTTAATGAGAACTTAGGTTTGCTACTACAGGCAGGTTTGGTACGTTTTTTTTATTGAAATTTTGATAGCTTAGTATGAAATAAACAAAATTGCCAAATTTCATTAAAACATATCCATAACAAAGAAAATGAAGAATGAGAAAAAGCAAATTACAGCAGTTTATTTATTCTCATAAGAATAACCTGGTAATTTTAAATTAACAATTTGCACTTTCACCCTCTATCTCAGGGGTCTCCAAACTATTTTACTCAAGGGCCACATTAACAATTTTTGGAGGAAATGCGAGCCGGTCCGGACCACTAACATTTCAGTGTAGAAAGGTAGCCCCCCTCCAAATAACCCAGAAAGTGGTAGTTTTCTAATTAAGAGCTCAGCGATGAATTTTGAACATTTCTTGCTAATTTTGTATTGCTCTATAACCTTTTGATTAACTAAAACTCTTTATGTTTTTGTGCGAATGATACTGTACAAAATAATCTACCTACCTCACATAATTATTTAAGGGTATATAAACTGTGCTTGTCATATTTATACTTTGTCATAGCATAAGTAGGCTTATGATTATTCAAATTGATATGAAAGTGAATATAAATCAATTTTACAGTATATTTACCATGACATTAGTATTTGTTCTATAAATGTAAGTTTTGAAGTAGGACTGATGAAAACACAGGATGACACAACTAGTATAGGTAATACTTAGTTTACGTGAAAATTTAGTACTGTATGTTTATAGTCCTTAAATTCTGAACAAAATGGTACAACCCCATTCCCATTCCTGTAGAAATTACGGTTTAAAAGTTATTGTAACTTAAGTTATTTCCCCCCCATAAATTATTATTAGAGAAAAACGGGTAAAAAAAAACTAGCTTTGGTTGATATAATAGTAGAGTCCCAATAGTCCGAAATGGTTGGGACCGGACCCATTTCGGATTACCGAATATTTCGGATTCAGCTAAATGTTTACTAAAATACACGTAACTATGAAATACAACCTTTAAGTTGGCCCATTGGCCTACTAACAACAAGTCTATCTCGCCCAGCAGCTCGGACATTACAGAATACTTTGACCAAGTACAACTAAGTGTCGTAACACGACAGTGCTAGCAGTTTCGGCTTTTCCCCAATAAGTGACAGCACGTACTGGGTTACTTTTTGTGTCTGCATTAATGGCGTTACGCGATGGTGCTAGTAGTTTCAACTTTCCCCGATAGGTGGCAGGTACTGGGTTACTTTTTGTGTCCGCATTAATGGCGTTACGCGATGGTGCTAGTAGTTTCAACTTTCTTGATAGGTGGCAGCACGTACTGGGTCACTTGTTGTTTTTACAATAAATTGCATTGGTTTCACTGTACTGCAATCTTGTTCTTTAGGTTGGCAATTCTGGTGTTCAGAACATCCAATTTATAAAGTAAACAAACCTGGTGTTTAATAACATTTGTGTACACTTTGTAACGTTATCTTTTGAGGTTGTGAATGTGGTGAAATGGCTTCAAAACGTAAACATACTTCGGTTACATTACAAGACAAACTTGAAGTGTCAAAACGATTAGACAATGGTGAAAGTGCGTCAAAATTGGCTGTTGAGTTCATGGAGTGGGGAATGCTACGATCATCGACTGGAAGGAAAACCGGTTAAAAATAACATTAAAGTAACATTAAAATAACACTTGGAAGACAAGTATTGGTTTGTTCTAAAGTGCTCTATTTTATTTATGAAATATTGTGTTATTTAACTTTAACTTTTAAAAGTAGTTTAAACTAAGTAATAATGATACAATAACAGTTTTTAAAAGTTTTTTTCTTTATAACCATTTCAAGAAGACAGTAAATATACTTAATAATATCTGAAATAGTCCTACTTACTAATTGGATGCAAATTGTCACATGTTTTCAGCCATAGTTTCATACCACTTTTATTCTTAAATTTAGAGCACTCACAAGAAGCCAAGCATTTTATATCATTACAAATTATATTTGGAATCATAATTAAAACATTTTGATGATTGAATTAAAGATCAAAGAAGATCACAAAAACTTATATAGTTGGCACTATTTTTATTGGGTTCTAACATCCTGTGTATAAATCCGCCTGGAACATGATCTGAACAGGTTAGGCACTGGACAGGTTAGGCACTGGTGCCTAAACAATACAGACTTACATCAGTTGCTGCACTCTGCCCTCACTGACCACAGACAACCTAGACTCCTCATCAATCAAGGACTGCTTACAAGACCTAATCAGCTGTCTGTTTATTTTGCACCATTTAAAAGCTACAATCACTGGATATTAAATTATTTTTTGCTGATGTGAAGTAATATTCTCAATTAAATGAGAATACATTATTATTATTATTTATTATTTTAAATGATTTAAAATGATTCCTTTAAGTATAAATGATGTACCAAAGGGCTGGCAAAGAAAATAAATTATTAGGAAAACTGGTCTACGTAAAGGGAGAATTGATGTACATATTATATCCCCAAGAGGAAAGATCTTCAGATCAAAAAAGGAGCTTTCTAAATACATCACTGAAAACAAGATACCCCATAATATTGACAATTTTAATTTCTCAGTAAGAAACCCTTTTATGGTAGAATGTTTGGAGGAAACTGTTGTAAATAATGATATTAATTTAAGCAATGTTAGTGATGAAAACGAGCAAACGTCGTAGAGTCCTTCCCATATAACGATTTGTGATGGTAATTCCAGTGATTCCAGTTTAGGCACTTCTCTATGTAACACCACATCGACAATATCATTAAATTCAGATTCATACAAGAGTGATGTAGGCACATCTAATAAAACATTTTCAGTTGCTCCTGAGGTTGTTTCATCAAAGAATAAACTGAAAATACAGGAGAATATACTTGGAAAAAACTGGATCTCAGATCTCTTTTACCTTATTTAAATAGAAAGATATCTTCAGAACGAGAATTGTCTAGCATTAAATCCTCTCATAGTCAGTGGAGTCAAAAATTGCCTGGATTTTGGCTATTTATTAGATCCTTTTGACATTAAAAGCAAAAATGTCCTTATCATGGCAGTAAATAATTCAGACCAAATAACCACAAATGAAAACATCACTGCCGGAACTCACTGGAGCCTTCTTGTGTACAGTAAAGATATCAACAATTTTCTTTAATTTGAATCTGCATTCTTTGCTGAGTTGGGAAATTTGTGTGGATTTTCAAGATTAAGGACAACAAGTTACCACCCATGCACAAATGGCATGGTAGAAAGTTTCCAAAGACAACTCAAGGCGGCCATCATGTGCCACTCCGCCTCCAAGTGGGTTGAATCCTTACCCACAGTGCTTCTTGGAATGGATAAGAAATGCTTTCTGTTCGGATCTGAACACCTCACCTGCAGAAATGGTTTTTGGAGAGGTTTTACACCTCCCTGGCTAGTATTTTATGCCAGCAACCAAGCCAGCACCCCTAGAGGATCAGACTAATTGTGTGTCTCGATTAGGACTCAAGATTTCATCAATAAAACCAACAAATATCAAGAGACACGGCATCAACCGAAGCATCATTGTTTGTGATTAGGACACATGTTTGCACGTTTTTCTGAGGGTGGATGCAATGAGAAAATCTTTACAACATCCATACACTGGACCTCATCCAGTGATCAAGAAAGACAGTAAAAATATCACAATAAAACTCTAATGTTATGTTAGTATTGACAGAGTTAAACCGGCCTATGTCCTTCGATGAAGTTAAACCCTCAACTGTATCTCAAACTTCAAAAGATGTGGATCTTCAAAAGTCGTATACGACAAAGTCTGGAAGAAAAGTGAAATTCAAGAATCCAATTTCAGTGTGATGGAAATCCTGTTTATCCTTGCTGTTAATTTATTTCTTTATTTTTTGTTTTGTGACTTTTCGGAACCCACCCGAAACTCCATGGACTTCCAGTCTTTGCAGAGGGCTCCTGTAGTGATGTGACCAGGGTCTTAAAATGTTAAATATAATTTAGTTGTCACCTAATTATCAGCTGACAGATGTTTAAAGAGTTTTGTTAATTTTGGTTACTAGGAAGAGATAAACAAAACAAGGATCAGATATTTTAGGCTTTCCAACAAAAACTGTTTTAATTTATTTGTACTGAACAATTGCTTGTTACTTAAAAAGTATGTTGAATTAAATCAATCATATTTGGTGGAAAATCTTTAGACTTTTCAATTTCAGGTATTTCTTCTAGTACAAATAAAGTCAGATTTTAATACGAGGTTTTTTCAACTAAAAGAAAGAGTAAATGAGCTTTTCAAGGGTTGTGACATTATTACGACTGGGACATCCCAATCTGCCATTTTAAATACATGGCTCATAGGCTTGACCTACTGCTATCTAAAACAACAAAAAAGACCTATGACACTTAGTCTTAGTACAAAAGCTATCTTTGTACAAAATGCGTAAAGGTCAGAGATTTTTGCTTGATGAATAGTCAAATCATTTTCATTGTTGTATAGGAATAAATTATAATTCTCAAGAAGGTCAATAAATTGTTACAATAGGGCTAAATTACCAATGTGGTTAATATCCATTAACATTAATAATTATTAGTAAATAGAGTATAAAAATAAATCACATTGAAAGTTATGAAAGTAAAACTAGTACAGGTAATTAATTGAAGATGAATGACTAATCAAATTAATGCATTGAGTTGAGAGGTTAACATATAGACTGATAAGGCGACCTAAGGGCATTGACAACACTGATAGCAGGTAACAGCCAGCAGAGCACAAGTGGATTGACACAATGTCACCTACAATCACAAATAGACAAGCGAAAGGGGCAAAGTGGACAACTGGGACACCACAGTGTTCTACTGCATTACCAATGATAATGTGCAGCAATAGATGCCCTGAATACATCCATACATCTTCAACTATCCAACCAACTTCCTACACACTTACACACAGAGACGTTTGAACCGTCTTTAGAAGTAAAATATACTTCATGGAGTAGGATATAGTAAAACACTAATGCTCATACTTCCAAATGCAAACAGTATTAAGTAAAAAAATAACATAATAATCATTTGTAAGGCCTATCAAGGCCTTTTACCAAATAAAAATACAGGCTTATGGCACATCAAAATGAAGCTTATAGCTTTGACTAACAACTAGACATTCCATCTCCATGTTAAAGTTGTTTCTAGTTTTTTAATCAAAGTAGTAGTAGTTGATGTGAGCCACCGACAGATTGCGCTGAACTAAATTACTGATCTCTGATGAGTACAAGAACTTTGTTACCAAGTTAAACTGGCAGAACGATTTATTGTGAGCTTTAGCAGCTATTATGACTAGGGATGGGCCGATTCCGATTCTCGATACCTCGATACCTTCGACACCAGTGGTATCGAAGAATCGCCGATACTCGATACTTCGCTTCATTGTACTCGATACCGATTCTGAAAAGTGAGGTTAATTATAATGCCAAACTCAACTGACATTGAAGGTTGTGAAGAGTGGCAAATCATAGTTTATTTGGAATAATCTGAAGTCAGCTAATATAAATAACTAGGTGAAACCCGTCGAAATTGACGGTTACTTTCAAGGTGTTAATTCATCTAACTGCGATAAATTGGGTGAAATATACACATTTTAAGCATTTAGCATTCTTTAAAGAGTAATAAGTATAAAAACAATAATGATATTAATTGCGTTAGTTGCAAAATTTGGTTGATCATTCAATGAATAAAATATTCCCCATACCGTACGTCATCGGAGTTATTATTAGTATGTTATATGGTATCTCTTCCTTTGGAAGAACCTTTAAATAGTATTAAAATCGTATTAATGGATCTTTTGAAGCTAAACACTACCGTGATTTCATCAGTGTAACATGATTTTATTTCAAAAGAAAATATTATTTTCGAAGACATATTCTAACTTCAAAGGGAGGTATATCTGTTACAGTGTAAGTTTGATTTTTCCTTCGTCACGTCGCGTCAGTTCATATCGTACTTCTGTGCAAATGAATGAACCCTCTAGCATAGTTTTGAGAAATTGATTGTGGGGTTACTGTGAAAGATGGAATTCCTTGA